GAGACAGGGTCTCCCTGTAGCCCCAGCTAGCCTGGAACTCATTATGTAGACTAGGCTGGCCTTGAACGCATAGAGATCCGCCTGCTTCTGCCTCCTGAGTACTGGGCTAAAGGCGTGCGCCCACCTCTGGCTCTCAATTTTACTGGGTTGTTTTGTTTTGTTTTGTTTTGTTTTGGCTCTCAGTTTTATATTTTCAACTGTCAGCTGGGCTGGAAGCTCAGCTCAGGAGTGACTGCCTAGAAACTCCCCCGCTCCATCCCGCCCCCTCTGGTGAGGGGGCCGGGGGCGGAGCTTAGCAACAGCTTCTACAGGACCCTCGGTTTCTAATACAGAGGGCAGTGGGAAGCCATAGAAGGTTGTAGAACACAGGTTGATATAAGTCTTAGGAAAAAAAAAACCCGGAGGCTCCTTGGAAGTGGTAAAACTGGAGACCTGGAGAGAAAGGAAGGGAGTGGAGGGGGGTCTGTTTCAGGGTGGGGGGTGGGTTGGAGATGGACAGACAGACCTGGTTGATGTATCTGCTTTGTTGAGATAAAATGGATTAGCCTGAGGCAGGGTGGAGTGTGAGGGAGGGGCATGATCGATCCTGATTCTCCCCCCCCCCAGGAAAGTGATGAAGACAAGAGCGATTATAATCTCGTGGTGGATGAGGTGAAGTGGTGGGGGCTGGGCACGTGGGGGGGTTCAGAGGGAGAGAGAATTCATTCCTGTCCGGGCTCTAGAATAATCTGAGATTATGCAGGAGAGGAAGTTTGGAGGAGTCTGGGATTCCTCTTACAAGAAGGGAAACTGAGGGCCAGAGGGCAGGGGGGAGTTGGTTGCAGTGGTTGATTGGAGCAGGGGACCCCCATTTTCTTGGTCTCGGTTCCCCTGTCAGTTCAGTGTAGAAATGAAGCTGAGCCCTTCTGCCTGGTGGGGAGGGGGGCTTGGAACTCACTTTATTTATGTGCGTAAACAGATAATAGTGCAGTAAGCTAACCAACCAAGGTGGTACAGTTCAGATTTTTTTCATTCTTTTGACCCTTTTGCTTTGAGACAATGTGTCTTGTGGCATGGTACTCACTGCATGGTAGAGTCTGGAAGGGTCACCTCACAGCCATTTCACAGAGGATGGACTGAGGCTCCAGGGTGGACCCTTGGTAGCCATGGGGGCCAAAGTACAGATGGGCCGGGGGTTTTTTTGCCCTCTCTCCCAGCTCCCTGGCTCAGCACCATCTCCTTGAACACAGGACCAACCATCAGAGCCCCCCAGCCCTGATGTCACCCCATGTGGAAAGGCACCCATCTGTGTCCCTTCAAGGAGGGACCTCGTGGACAGTCCAGCCTCTTTGGCCTCCAGTTTGGCCTCACCACTCCCCAGGAGCAAAGAACTTGTTCTGGTATGGAAGTCAGGAGTGATGGGGGGCGGGGGAGGATAGACACAGTCCTGTAAGCAAGTCTGGCTACTGCTACAGCTTGAATCTTCTTTTTCTGTTTGTTTTCTTTTATTTTGAGGTGGCTCAGCCTGGCCTCCAACTTGCTGTGTGGGGGATGACTACTTTGAACTCCTGATCCTCTGGGCTTGATCCCCCAGTGCTGGGATAGTGGGGGGGGCAAGCAGGTGGTACCATTGATTCTTTGGGCCCCTCGTTTTTCCTGGGCATTGAATCTCAGGAAACATGAAAAGAGCAACTTTGTAACCAAGCTGCATAAATCAATAGTGAAGTTGTTGGGCAAGGTAGAAACTGCCTGGGAAAGAAACAGCAGGAAACCCATCAGCAGGGCTTGCACCTGACAGGTCTTGGACTTCCTGTGTGCAAGTGTCATCTCCTTCCCCATCTTTTAGAGACCCATCTCCACCCTCTCCGCAGATCTCCCTGGAAGACCTGGCCCACTCTGCCCTCACCCTCAAGTCTTGTCACGTACTTTAATTGAGGAAAGAGTGTTTCTAGGCCGCCCAGTCTGTACAGGTTGCCATGGCAACTACCAGATATTGGCTACTCTTGTTTTATCTACCTGCTCTCAATCCAGGGAGACCTTGTGGGCTGGGAGTGTAGGGCAGCTCACTTCTGCTGGAAAAGCCCCTGCCTCAAGAACCTTCCTCACCCCCCGCCATGATTCTGGGCCACCTCCACCATCCTATGGGAGAGACTGTCACTCTGTGGGAGAACAGACACAAGCCTAGGATGTGAAGCTTTTGAAAGGTCAGCGATCCTAGCCTATAACCCCAGCACTTGGGAAGTGAAGGCAGGAGGATCAGGAGTTCAAGGTCATCCTCAGTTCAAGACTAGCCTGACTTTGTGAGACCCTATTTCAGAAAAAAAATAACCAGTCTCCCCCCAACACACACACACACACACGTGCACGCACGCACACACGCACGCACACGCACACACACGGTACATGTGTGGAGGTCAGAGGACAACTTTGAAGAGTCTGTTCTCTCCCTCCATGATGAGACTTTGGGAGATGAACTCAGGTCAACAGTCTTGGCAGCAAGCTCCTTCACTCACTGAGCCCTCTCACCGGCCCCAAAGGCTCTAACCTGCTGTCTCTGGGTGACACAGTGCTGTCCCTATGGGTCCCCATCCCTGGTCGTGGGCACTTATTTGTGGACCCAATTGATACCCACATACCTGACAGTCTGTGTACACCAGAATCCTTACCCTAGGCCCCCCTGGATTTCTGCTGTGTGCAGACAAGCTTCCAGGAGCACAGCCGACTACCCTGCAGTGCACAAACCTGCAGCTGGACACAGGCCCCCTCTTTCCACTGGTTTCTGAATGGCTCCTTAGGGTGCCAGGCACCCACCAGTTGGCAGCCTTTCTTGCTCCACAGAACGATCTTCCAGCCAGCACTCCTGCCACCAGATCCTGTGGTTCCACCTCACCCCAAGACGCATCCACCCCTGGGCCCAGTTCTGCCAGTCATCTCTGCCAGCTGGCGGCAAAGCCAGCGCCATCCACAGACAGCCTCGGTGAGCTCCTGCCTGTCAAGGTGTACCTCCCTCTGTTCTTGAGAGAGTGGGGCTCCCCAAAATGAGTGGGAGAGGCAGATGGCTTGGAAACAAGAATTGTGGTCACTAATCAATTGGTGAAGCTTAGGCCCAGAGACTCAAAGTGACTTCCTTGGCCAAGACAAGCTTTGGAGCCAGTTGGGTCTGGTTTGTGTGTTCAGGAGCTGTATGACCGTGGGCTAGTAAGGTAACCTCTCTGAGTCTCTGTTTTTCTGCTCACTGAGTCTAGGGTTTTGAAGGATGAGTAGGAGTTTGTCAACTGATATATAGGGAAAAGCATTGCAGCTGAAGGAACAGAATGTGCAGAGGTCTGCACCTGGGGCAAGGAAGCCTTAAAAGACAGGGGGAAATGGGGTGTATGTCCCGGCACATGGCAGGTGTATGTCCTGAATACATGTCCCGAACCTTCTTGCTCAGCCCTGAGGAGTCCGCTGACTCTGTCCAGCCCTTTCAACCTGGCCTCTCATGGCACCCTCAATGGGGACCTCTCCATGTCCAGCTCCTACGTCAGCCTCCACCTGTCCCCCCAGGTCAGCAGCTCTATGGTGTACGGACGCTCCCCACTGGTGAGTCCTTGGGGTGCTGGCCCCTAGGATGGTATGCCAGCATAGCCCAGAGGCTGTGGGGGACAGAGGGAGAAACCAGCTGTCAGACCAGAGGGGCTGGGGCTGGGGCAGAGCTGGTACAGTGTGCAACTAAGCCCTGGGTCCATCCCCTGCACCACACAAACCAAGCCTGGTGGTAGGTGCCTGTCATCCCAGCACGTGGGAGGTGGAGGCAGGAGGATCAAGAGTTCAGGGTCAGCCTGGGTTACATAGGGAATTTGAAGTGAGTCTGGGCTCATAAAAAGACTGGGGCAGAAGGGCTGGAGAGATGGCTCAGTGCTTAAGAACACTGTTCTTGCAGAAGACCCAGGTTTGAATCCTAGCACCCACGTGGCAGCTAACAACTGTCCATAACTCCAGTTCCAGGGGACCTGACAGCCTCTTCTGTCCTCCGTGGGCACTGCACAACACGGGTGCACTTACATGCAGGCAATACACTCATACACATAAAATAAAAATAATAAAAAAAATATTAAAAAAAAAAAAAAGACAGGCAGAGAAGGAGGCAGGCTCAGCAGGTGTGTATGGAAAACCCATCTGGGGTACACAGTGGCTCCAACCTGTGGCTCTGGGACAAAAAACTGTGATAAGGTGGAGGGAGAGGAGGCTGGAGAGATGCTCAGCAGTTAAGACACTGGCTGCTCTTGCAGAGGACCAGGGTTCACTTCCCAGCTCCCACATGGCAGCTAACAACCATCTGTTACTGCAGTTTCGGGGGCTCTGATGCCCTCTTCTGGCCTCCATGGGCATTGCATGCATTGGTGCGCTTACATACATGCAGGAAAGCACTCAGACACATGAAGTAAAACTGAGAGGGGTCAGGACTGGGGACCTGAGTGAGGACAGTGGTACCTGGGTGTCCCAGCCCTGAGATGTCTCTACCTGTTTCAGATGACGTTTGAGTCTCATCCACATGTCAGAGGCTCTTCCATCTCCCTGTCCAGCATTCCTGGGACAAAGCCGTGAGTAGGCGGGGGAGGGGGGGGCGCCCGCAATGGGTCCCCGGAAGCCATTCAAGGAAGATCCTCCTGTGAGGAAGATTCCTCTGCTAGACATTTGAGGGTCGGGACGCTGGTCAGGCGTGGGGACAGCTGTCCCCAAGTCCGTGGGATCGCGCACCCACGCGTGTTGGTGGCCTCCTCAGGGCCTACTCTTTCCACGTGTCTGCGGATGGCCAGATGCAGCCGGTGCCCTTCCCGTCGGACGCACTGGTGGGCGCCGGCATCCCCCGCCACGCGCGGCAGCTGCACACGCTGGCCCATGGTGAGGTGGTGTGCGCCGTCACCATCAGCGGCTCCACGCAGCACGTGTACACGGGTGGCAAGGGCTGTGTGAAAGTGTGGGACGTAGGCCAGCCTGGGAACAAGACACCCATAGCCCAGCTGGACTGCCTGGTGAGGGCTGGGGAGGGGCGGAGCCTAGGGAGGGCAAGGGCGGGGCCTGGGAGGGTG